ATCACTCGAACTGCGGGTGGTCGCCGTCGTGGTGGCGGCTCCATCATTGTCGCTGGCGGGAGTGGTGGCGTTGGGCGTGGCAGATCGGCCTTGGGGGTTTGAAGGTGTTTGTGTACCTTCGGGTGCATCTGCTGCCCCGTTTGTTGTCTGTGCTGACGAAACCGCAGTGCCAACCGACGGCGTTGGTGTTTTTTGAGGGGCTTCCGCCGATTGCTCCTGACTTCCGGTGGAACCCACCGCACTGCCTGGCTGCCCCCCAACAGTAGCAGTGGAGCCCCCACTCTTCGTACGGTCTCCTTCATGCATTTGCGCCGAAGGTGACGCTGTTGCTGCATTTGCCGGTTTTTGTTGTGGTGGGCCTGCTGGCTGCTGTTGTTCTGTAGGTTGGGGTTCAGACTGCGCTTGCGTCGTGGGTTGACTGGAGGTCAGAAACTCACAATCGCCGGACGCGCCAAGTGGATCCTCCGTTTCACTGATGGTGAGGGTGTCGCTTACGCCCTTCGTCAGATTGTACAGCGCACTGTTTGCGGCCGCCGTACAGTTCATCGTGAACAAAGCAGCGTCTGTGTCCCCTGCTGCCTGGGGTGCAGGGCAGTTCCCCGCCGGGAACTTCTCCAGGTACGCCGAACCAGCAAAGATGCAGAGGGAATTGCTGCCAGCAGCGGCGGTTTCACTGCCCCCAAAACCCTCCGGTGTGGTGGGGCACGTCCTCCAGGCAGAATCCCCTTTGCCGGCAATGCGCCAACGCAACTTGTTGTCGTTAGTGTTCGGGCACGACACATCCACCGACACTTTCACGTTGGCCGCAGGCCCTTCAGCACTCGCCCCGCAGGCAAACGAAGCGCAGCAGCAGCCGCAGAGCAGCGCGAGGAGCGCCAGGGCGCACACCGCACGGCGCCGCACCGTCAGCGTCGTCGCCATCCGTAAAAGCAGCGGTGGTGGCGGTGGTGGCAGTAGCGTCGCAGCGGAGCCAGTGGGCTGCGGGGCAGCGGGGAAGAAGAAACAGAGAGAGAAATGAGGAGCGCGGTGGGGCTCGGCGCAGAGGGTGAGAGCAGGGAGAGGGAAGGAAGAAAAAGGCGGCAGCCCACGAGGTTCACGCAGCAGCGCCCCGCGGCCGCACGAAAAGAAATTCATCCCGCCCCCGCCCCACGCAGACGTCTTTGGCGGTGCCACGGCATTTGGGAGAAACACACAACGTGAACCCAAAAAACAGTGCTGCAGCGAGGCCACGGGGCACGGCGCCTCCTTCTCCCCGCAGCAGCGCAGCCCGCCGGCTGTGCCTCGTGCCCGCAGGCAAATAAACACAAACACACAAATATATATTTTAAAAAAAAAGCCCCTTCCAGCACTTCCGTGGAAACGCAGTCCGCTGCGGCACTCCGCTGCTCACTTCCCCCCAACGCCGCCGCCCAAATCAACGGAATTGCGGCAGCTCCGCGCCGCGTGCAGCCTTGGAGTGTTCTCCCCGCACGCTGCACGCAAACAACACCCCCCACCAACACTCATCGGAAACAGTTTTCCCAGCCAGTAAAAATATACACCTCGTCCTCCACTCACCGGGCCGCTGCTGCGCTGCGCTGGCGGTAGTGTTGTGCTGCGTATCCGCCGCAGCAAACCGCAGCCCAACAAACTCCTCCCCCGCCGGGAACCCACAAAACAATAAAAAAAGGAGGCGCCCAAGAGCAGAGCGTCTTCGGCCGCCGCTCCCGCGCAACTCCCCGCACGTTGCGTCCGTCCACCCTCTCAGCCTGAAGGCTCCTGCGGCGCCCACATCGCTAAGCCCCTCCCGGGACGCGACGCCGGGCCCGCCCGCAACACGCAGCGCCTTGCACGCCGTCCCGTTGGCGGCCGCAGCCCCGCGAGCCCCTCCCTCTTTTTTTTCTGCCGTGCCCGCAGAAGGCCCTCCTCCCCCAGCGTGTGCGTGTGGGTCCGGGGCACGCGGCTTCTGGAGCCTTTCAGGAAGGCGAGCGGCACGCCGTAACCGCGAGAGACCCTCGCTGGGGCCCAGAACCCCACACACAAACGTGCCCCCATTCGAAGATCAAAGAGGCAACACACATTTGTGTAGCGCACGGCCTCCACACCGTGTGCGCCACACTCCCGCTCAATCCTCACAGCCCTCCGAAACGGATTCCCCGCACCCCACAGTTTCGCGCCTTCCCGGGGACAGTCGTCTCCGGCAACCGGGGCGTCAGTCGCCCGCACGGCGCCGTCACCCGCCGCAGTGCGCCCATCGAACGCAGCCGCACTGAAGATGCCACGCGGCAGCGGTC